GTCGTTTAAGAGAATTTTTTTTTTTTTTTTTTTTTTAAATGCTTGAAAGAAAATTGAAGGGGTCGATTGTATTTTTAATTTTTTAATTTTTGTTGAAAACCACCTAATAATTTACTTGGGCACATGTACGCGTTGAGTAGAATAAGCGTATTGAAAAAAATTTTAAGCACAGCCCTTGATGGTAATTTTTTGTTGGACTTACGTAGATGCATCGCACTGGTTTTGTCGATCATCATGGCAAACATCAGCGCGAGAAAGAGCAACGGTACTTTCATGTTGACACTCGTCGTGCTATTCTTGTATTATTCTTTGAATTTAACACCAAAACTTTTTTACCTTTCCTTTCTTGCAAAGCCGTTTGATTTCGAGTGCACTTGAGTAAAGCATTGCTCGTATTGTTGTTATTATTGACCATTTGACGTGTTTAGTCTTTCCTGGTCTTATGTTTCTTATCCTTCCCTCGTTGCGGCGATATCGACCAATTTAAAAAAAAATATGTTTGCGCACTAATTGCCTTTTCAGATAACAAAATAAATATACTTTTAACATTAGTACGTGCACGTTTTCGAAAAATTTGCCCCCAAAGTAATAAATGAACGTGGATATTATTCCATTTAAACTTTCTACCATGTATCTATCATCGAGGAATAAGCGCTTATCAGTTGGTGTGGTATATAAAGTAAAATAAAATATCAATCAATGTATAAGCAGAACAAGTGAGCTTTCAGAATAGCTCTGTAGTGTGTATAAGTAGTTACGGCAGGTCAGGAGGAAATGTGATACCATGATTACGTACACGACTTTTACAGCTTTGATGTAAATAACATAGACTTTAATTGAACAAAAGAGTCTGTTAGTAAACATTCACAAAGTTTAATTAGTTTGTGTGCATCGTTGTAAAAAAAAAAACACGAGACAATTACCCATGTACACGGAGTGCACTCGTTTCCCACGTGTTCTGATCTATTATTTATTATCTGTGCAAATCTTTTCACAACTAGTCGAAGCTCAACTTTTGTTTTCACGTGCGTACGTTTTTTTATTCCAGCTTAAAAAAAAAAAAAAATTCAGAACGTATGGAGCGTCTAGTAGTTATGAAAATTGTAATAGAGAATCTCATCTATTTTGGCTCGATAAACCATTGAGCCAAAATGTCCCTTAACTTTTTCACTAACGTGAATGAAGTAGCGCAAACTATCGAAAACGACCTTGAATTCATCATAATAAAGCAGTGGCTCGAGACCTAAATCCTTTAATTAGAAAGTATTTTCTATTTCCTTCAGCTTTATACCATTGTAATGTAGTACGGTAGTAACCGCATCATCATGCAGTTTTATGAAAATGAGCTTATTTTATCAAATCGTATGAAAAAAAAAAAAAAGGTTTCTTGCTTCATTGAGAAGACGAAACGATTGAAAAACATGCGAGCTCTCACATGCTGGTAATATACCCGTATCTAAAAAAAAAAAAAAAAAAAAAACGTATTGCAAATGTGACGATTTCAAAATTTCTTTTCATAAAAAGGTTTATTATTTTGTATGGTATGTTTAACGAAAAGGTTTTAAACTCATCGTAATAAGCATTATAGACGACAATGACAGCAACACGAGGAAAACGAGATGGATAAAAGGTCGATGCAGGTATTGTAAAAAAAAAAAAAAAAAAAAAAAACATAGAGATGGATAGAGAGAGACATGGGGAGGGGGGGGGGCAAAAAAAGGAGAGGACAAAAAAGAGATACGTAAAGCATAGACACACTTTATGTACGTAATACTTGGATGCCGATTCGGGTCGGAAGTATGTCGATGTGTCATGTTTGAGTGGCTCGTTGCTTTAAACAACTGCACCAATGCAGGTGGATATATAAAACTTTTGCTTTTGTTCGCTCGCTATACAGTATCAGTACGCTCATCGCCGCCGGCGTGTGTACCTACGCTCGCTTTCACGCAGGTGTTGTTGTTCGCTGTTGAGAATTTTTACACCATAAGATCACGTTTTATTGGATTTTTTGAAAAGTGCCAATGAATAATTACGCGTAGGAAAAAAAAGAACAACGAGGAATCAAAATTATTAAGATTTCATTCGAACAAGACAAGTGAATCATCATTGTTGTATACTATTACGAGTGTCACATGTAAATCAAGAGAAATGACGGGAAGAGAGAAATAATGTACCGTACGTTGCGAGATGTGGCCGAAACGAACAGAAAAAGTGTCAACGAATAAACGTTTAATCGATGCAATTTGTAACGATTATTTCAGTACAGACACGTGAAATATATTTATAACGCGTTAGTATAATATATACTTACTCATTGCTATCGGAGCAACTGTTGGAAAAACACACACGTGTGTGCTGGTGGTGCACCGGTGATTTTTTCGTGTTACGTAAGGTATACATATATATGTATGTACATATACACGCACCACAAGTCGGAGTAGAGAATATAATATTTATCATTTGACCTCGGTGCTTGAGAACATCGGCGTGGTACGAGAGAAAAGAAAAATCCTATATGGGCGCTAAATGCAAAAGTTGAAAAATAATCATGAGTTTGTACATTGTTTCAAAAATCATATTATGGACCTTATCGATCGTAGTCGGGATTGCAGGTGAGCCAAAATATACTATTCCTTTCTCATCCCTGACACTCGTTTAGCATTAAATGAAAACAAACCCATGTCTATTACGCGTGCATTGCAGGATATCAATCGTGCAACAAAGACATGGTCTGGGAAAAAGTTAGGGGCATGAAGCCCGAGTTGGCAAGAGAAATCCGTGTTCTTTATCGAGGAATAGATTCTCAAGGAATTGTGGCCGCTTGCTTCGAAAAGTAACGAAAAAAAAAAAAAAAATTATCATATTGCATCACAATGTACCACAACCCAATTATATTTGTTTAGATGCAAGAGTCAGAATTGCAATGCGTTCATCATCAACCTCGAGAAGAGCTATTGCTTTAGCGTTGATTGGAAAGGAAACGACTTCGGACCAGAGCCAAATGTAACATTTTACCACAAAATCTGCTTGAAAGGTGAGCGAAAATACGTTTGGTGGGCCCGTTTATTCCAAAATTATGACAATTTTATGATTGTACCAAGTAAATTTTGCAATTTTTTTTTTTTTTTCTTTTTTCTTTTTTCAAGTTCCGGAATCTTGTTTAACCAAATATTGGCAAGTTGAAAGGAGCTTGGGCTCGATTTTACATGATTCTGCGGCTGTCAATACGACACCAGAAATTACGACCAGAGCCGAATGTTACGAGACGTGTATAAACAAAGGTAAACAGTACTCGTTTTTTTTTTTTTTTTTTTTTTTTTTTTTTTTTTTTTTTTTCTAAGTAGAAAATTACATCCACAATCGTCTAATGTTGCAGTAAAAAATTGCAAGGCAGCTCAATTTCAAACCAGTCGCGATCTTTTCATCGGCGACATAACCGGATCCTGCACTCTTTTGACGATAGAAAGAGAAATGAAGCCTCAAGCGTACAGAGCCTCGTTGTACAGAAACGAGTACCTACAAAATCAGTGCCATAATGTATGTAAGTTTCAAAAAAAAAAAAAAAAGAAAAAAAAAAAAGGAAAAAAAAAAAAAAAAAAAAAAAAAGAAAAAAATCGAGATACAAAACACGCGTATACATTTGCAGCAAAAACCGAGTTTTGTTCTTATGCCGAGTTTGAAGACGCGTTGATGCCATATTCGGATTTGCAAGTGACGGGCGTGAATACAAAGCAGGTAAGCATTTATTTTTCTACGTAAGTATTGCAATATTGCACGAGTAAGATTTTCATTTTGCTTTCGTCCCTCCCAGTGCGAGAAAAGGTGCGACGAAAGCAACGATGGCTTCCTGTGCCGGGCTTTTGGCATCGAGCGCGTGAATTCGAACCGTACGACTTGCTATCTCTACTCCGATGACACAATAGGCAACGGCGTCAGCTCTCTCGTCGCTTCACCAAATTCCTCCTACAGAGAGCGAGAACCTTGCATCGACAGTGAGTACACACAACATTACTTACATTATACTTACGCTTTGACTTGAAACACCTGATGTTGATGTGTGGAGGCGCAATCCGTGATCTAATGAGAAATACATGTGTACACTTGATGCTTTTTTAGTGAACGTACATTGCACTAGTTCTTCTTTAATAGTCCAACTACGTACAGCCGAGCCGTTCAACGGTAAGCTTTACGCTAGCGGGTTCAGCGACAACTGTAGCGCACACGGCCACGGCGAGAATCTCACGATTTTGGTCCTACCTCTTCCGGATTTCAAAAGTACCGGCGGCTCGTCCGCCTGCGGCTTGGCTTTGTCTTACCAAGATAATCAGTTTGTGGCGTTTTTTTTTTTTTTTTTTTTTTTTTTTTNTTTTTTTTTTTTTTTTTTTTTTTTTTTTTTTTTTTTTTTTTTTTTTTTTTTTTTCGTTAAATTCATGTTTCTTTTTTTTTATATTCACCTACTTACTTACTTACAACAGAACGAGCGCGATCGTTTGGTCGACGGTTATCGTGCAGTTCAATCCAATAATCCAACGCCTTGGCGACCAAGCGGTCAGAGTGGGCTGCTCTTTCATCAACGGCTCGATTCCGTTACCTCAGAATATAAGCGTCAACTCTGGATTCACTTTTGTCGATCCCAAGTGCGTATCCACATGTCAATCGTTATTTTGTAACAAAAAGGAGGAGAAACACCATTATGTTAAGCTATATTTGGGTTTAGCGCTGGTCTGCCGCCGATAGTTTCCACGGTGGTGAATTCGTCCTCGGTGGTGCCAACGATCTCCATGTACATCTTGGACGAGAATCTTAGACCTGCCAATGTGACGCATCTTGGGCAAAAGTTGATCCTCAAAATCGAAATGTCACCAAAGCAAGGTATACCCCCATACATGCACAATAAATTGTTGCGACTAGTAATTATACATGTATCCTGCTCCATAAAGGGCCGTTCGACATAACGGCTGGTTATTTGCTGGCGAGCTCGTACTCGGAGGACTCGTCTCTGTTGCTGCTCGACGAGCTTGGCTGTCCAATAACCCAAATTTTTCCGGCCCTCGGAAAAGACCCGGCGGACAATCGCTCGCTCGTGGCTGAATTCAGCGCCTTCAAGTTCCCAAACAGCCAGCGCGTGCGTTTCAACGTCATTGTGAAATTTTGCCTCGATGTTTGCACTCCGGTAAACCATGCATAATGTGTGTAATGTAGGGTGTACCTGTAATGATCCCTTTTCGTCGTAAAATGTTCATGTTGAAGGTGCGCTGCGATAATCGAGGGGCAACCAGTAGACGCAGAAAGCGATCGGTGCCCCCAAGTGAGGACTCGGAGAAGAAAACGCCCTTGTGGCCCAGCAACTCTACGATGGACCAGCAAATTCCCCTGCAAACGACCATTATAGTGCAGGACTCGAAATCCGCGAGCGGTATTGTGCCGAATCCCTTGAGATCGACGCGCAATCCAGATACGTTTGTCATACTCGACCCAGGTAATTTTTTTCTTTTTTTTTTTCATCATTTCTTCGGAGTATGTGCACGGAGTATTCGACCCATCGACCCATCTGTAACCCATTCGTCGACGCGTTGACGGATTTCAGGTGGCATGGACAGTCAATTCTGCATGGACGCGAACTTGCTTTTGTTTTTTATGACGATCTTCTTGATGGTGCAGCTCATCTTGATAGGCAGCTGTGTTTTTTCTCTAAGAAATTACAGGCGTCTGGCCATCAAAGCCGAGGAGGATCGAGCTGACATACTGGCCCGTCACCTCTACGGCATTCACGGCGGTAATTTTGGAATTTCCAGAAGAGTTCGTTGGGTGGACAATGGTACTTCAGTTCAGAGCTAAAGTGTTTTTTTTTTTCTTTCTTTCTTTTTCTTTTTTTTTTTTTTTTTCGTTAAATTATCTTGCTCGTCTCTTTCTGTGCGTGCTCCACAATGCTCGCTGGAAACGACATTACGTCCTTTCGGATACTTCTCATGATGATTGGACAAAGGGTGGCATAAAAAAATCCAAAGAGCAATTTAACTAGTGTGAAATTGTATAAAAAAAAAATACAACTGACCTCTTCATCGTAGCCGCATTGCTCCAAAACGCGTCTATATTATATGGTTGTTTTGGACGCTTAAAGTATTTTGGATTATGACGCAAGTTGCGTGATCTTCGGGGGTTCCCCCCTTCCATCTCGCCACGTAGGCTCGGCATCGCTATATGTGCCTATATGACGTCGTAACTGAGCAAGCTGCCACGGCAATGTACGCGTGTATAATTATATTTATGTACAGGTATACACTATGCGGGCTGTATATATATATATATATATTTTTTTTATTTATTTATTTAAATACTCACTTAACGTTATCTAAATAAAGAGAATTAAACAGCTTCAGCCCACATAACTCAATGGCCCACCAAATGACAAATGCGACGAGAACTTGATGAGTTTAGCTTTATTTGTATTAACACGAGCAAAGTCCGAGCGAATTTACATGACGTTTTTGACAAATGCTTACAATCAAATGTAATTATATCGATCAACAAAATTGAAAACACGTTTTTCCGCAATAGTTGACGCACGAGACCGCGATCTGTTCGCCAACAGTGCGTGTTAAATAAATATAATACAAGTCGTTGCAATAACCACAAGTTTACGAATCATGTTCTACACGGTCCGTGGTGCATAAGATGAATGCCTACGAAGGAAACATGTAAATAGATTTTTTATGATTGATTATATATTATTATTATTTTCTTTTTCTCGCATGTAAATATAAAGTACTCACTGTATTTGGCACAATCGTTGGCACATCTGAGGGTTGCGAGATTCAGATAAGTTACACCGTTATTGCCGCAAACTGGATCCACTTCGTCGACAGCCGCGCACTTGCACTCAGCTGGCAAAGATCCTTGATTGTTTCCCCATCTTTCGGACATTGCGCTCGAAATTCCTGTCGGTAATTATATTTCATTTCGCGATTCAATCACTTTCCTCAAAGCCTTGTCGAAATAACAAAGCGATTTTATTATAAATGCTTGCATTTGTAAAAAATGTAAAAAAACTCACCAAAAAAAAAAAAAAATGAATAAAACAAATATGTTCGCCATTGAAAAAACAAAACGTTTATCTCTATTGACTTGGATCAGGAGGGTACTCGTCCCAGGTATAATTTTCATCGAAATACACGAGACGCTCTGCGCCTAATGCGTGCGAAACACCAAATGATATTATGTCGGACAAACAAACGTATACCTAGTGCAGCTGTGCAAATCAATCTCTCGTAGGTATATTAGGTACAGCTTCGCGGATAGTGGTGGGACGAAGCGATGATGAACATTTTTAATGCAAATGTGTATCCCAGGCAGTTTTATACTTATGTAATCCGTAACGCAGTAGACCGAGATGTCGCAAGAGTTTAAAAATAGGGTACAATGTCACGCACGGGCTACGATTCGAATTACGTATATTATAATAAATCAACTTGTTTTGTCGTTTCGCGAATAGGAATAACCAATTCTTGCTTGTCAATAATATATTGACAACTAATTGCATCGTGTAGGCTAACAAACGCAACACAGCATGGCCAAAGTTTATGTTAATGTTGAAATGTGCAACAAATCTGTGGTTGTAGAAAATTAAAAAATTTAATAAATCGCGGAACTTGCGTCTCTTTCGATGCAACTTCCGATCAAATTTTGATACGTGTTATTTATTTCATTTGAAACTTCACTGTATACTTCACGGCAGTCAAAACGATAACCAAGTGATTCTAGACTTTTTTTTTATTCATTAAATTTTGTGCAGTTTTACAATTTTTACTTATTTTGGTTTAGGAAAAAAAAAAAAAAAAAAAAAAAAAAAAAAAAAAAAAAATTTTCAATCGCACTTTCTCTTGTGGTGCTTGCACACCATTTTATTTTTTTCGTCAATAAGTAAAAAATCCTTCTCCTTTAAGCTATTGCACAATTTTTTCCCAACGTTGTATTTTTCCCCCAAGAAAAGTTTAATAAGCTGTTAAAACAAAGTTTTTTTTTCACAAAAGCTATTAATTATACACCAAAGACACGACAGTCAAAGCTGACCTTGTCCAGTGACATAGATCTCTTAAATTGGTGCATCAACAGGTTGTGTAAACTTACAAGCATAAACTGATAATCAAGACAAACATATAGGAGCGTTCTGTCAATCGTATACGTTGATGATGTACTTAAGCTCGCAAAATCTGATATTCACAGCAAGTCATTCAAAACAGGAGGTGTCTTTGGCGATTTGGGCAACGCTGGCATAGAGATCAGAGCGTCAGAGGTATAATATGTATATTCTGTATTCCATGTATCAAAACAAACGTATCCATCTATAATCCATGTACTAAAATAAACATAATCATTTATTGAGTTTTTTTTTTTTAATTATTGTACCAACTACGTCATTATATTTTCTTGTTATTTTAACAATAGGAGATATATTATAAATTCTCAAGAAAAATGTGATAACTGCCAAACGATTTAAATACATACCTACATCGTTTGTATTGAGCCACAAAGTCTGACTTTTCACTACTTATACTACTTGAGACGCTGTATTGTACATATACTACTTGAATTATATATGGGTGTGTCTCAACCAAGTGTGTTCGTATCGAGTATTTATTTATTATTATTTTTTTTTTTTTTAATGGACTTTCCGAAACAATTAAAATATCATGTTTATCTTATTCACGATTTTTGTGTTAAAGTAATTTTTATAAAAATTCATCAATAAAAAAAAGTAGTATCATTTAAGCTATACGGTCATTAATATTTGACCTTTACTCATACGGGATGAGTGTACAAATAACCATCATTTATATTCTGTGAACTATTACCGCAATATAAATTTAATTAATTACATTAGTGATACGGAAAAAGTTCCCACCATAAATATTTATTGTCAAACAAGATAAATGAAATCAGATCACTTGCCTACTTGTTGAGTTCAATCGTTAACAAGGCCATCCATCGGTCTCATTTTTCACACGTGACGTATCATATTTTTCATATTATTTAATTGAAACAAATAAAAACTCCGCCATAAATATTTAACCTGCACTTCAGATAAGATAAGTCCATCAAATATCTTGATATTGTTTGTGCGTAGCTCGCTAAAGATGTGAAGATATAATAACAACTATAATCAAAAAAGTGTTTAACTTGATGGCATTGTTCACTATTGTCCGTACAAAAATATAGTATTTTAATAATTTTGTATTTATTTGACCAATAGATACAGCGAATTGTATTGCTTTATTGTATTATAAAACAAGTTACACTATCGCACCCACGTGTGCATCTTGAAAGAATTTATTCTTATCTGTTTGTCACATCTCATTATGACCTTATTGTATCTCACATTTTTTTTTTCTCTTCACGATTACCACATTTATTATTTGTACAACGAGTTATAATTTTTATTTGATAAAAAATTTCGTAATAATCATGATTCAACCGGATTCAACTGTATAAGATAAACCAGTAAAGTGAATATTCAAGCGCGTATAGATTGTCGTTCAAAACCATATACCAATTAAGGCATTCCCAGGTACGATGCTCTTGCACTTGACTCTAATGGGCCAGATAAAAATAAAATATACCTGTGAGAAGCATGTACCTCGTATCTGAACACCTGTGACATGTATATTGTGTCGTGGCGATGTAACGTAGCGTGACACGCACGTGCCACTGCGATGACAATCAAAATTTCTAATGCATAACTATGTACATATAGTAGAGTAGCGCTGGAAAAAAAGTCACAAACATCAGCTTACGATTGACTTGTTTCATTGATACAATTTTTTTTTTTTTTTTTTTTTCTGATTTATTGCCAAAGATTTTTATCCGTTTATCGGAAACAAACTTGTCGATCGATCGAATCGTAATGATTATTTTTTGTTTTCATCCACTCGTGAAGTATTGGCAAAAAATAATGGTACTTTCTAAGTGCGTATAATCCATCGAAACAAGTCTCTTTCTTTTAATGGTAGCCCTTGTCGAATTGTTTTCATTTAAAAACATATACCAAAGCTTATTATCTTTAATGTTTTACTTATTAACAGTTTCATAAGAAATATTAAAAAAAAAAAAAAATAAAGTAAAGCTTGTTAATAGCGTAGGAGAACAAACAAAAAGTTCTGGTACGAATCGGCTAACGAGTGACGTGTAGTAAAAGATCCGGCTTGATTTTCAATATATTTTGTGCACCATCAAAATCCTTGGAGTTGACAATTTAAAAGCAGAAAAGGCAAAGTAGTAGGTACGAAGAAAAAAAGTTGCTTCCTCCCTCTTTTGTTGTCGCGAATACGTATGGTCTTTATCACAATACGTTAACGGGAAAAAATACACGAAGAGCCAGGCTCTGCATAGGTATGTTTTTCAATCTCGTGTTCGTGCCCCGCGGAGTTTTCCGCGCTACTTTTGTCTCACCCACGTAAATGTCCACATAATTATATCCACGAACCCACTTTATATCTAACCGATCAACATTCTTCGTATAGCATTCGTTTTAATTATCTCATATAGTAACTCTGCATTACAGCTTACTCGCGTAATCGTCAAGTGTAAGCATTTATGCCAAATTGCTGATTAGTCGATGACGCTCGGAGGATTGATAAATTATTAATGTTTGAAGAGTTCGACGAGTTAACGGCAGTAGCGTCGACTCGAGTGAAAAAAAAAAAAAAAAAAAAAATCACTACTTAACAAGTTACAGAGATTATCGTGNAAAAAAAAAAAAAAAAAAAAAAAAAAAAAAAAAAAAAAAAAAAAAACCAGTAGATATATGTGGGTAACTGGTACGTATCCCCTGATTTTTTCCTCCATCTCCTTGTAATACTAAAACAAAGTACTTATCACCCGACGATTTTTCCCAGCGCAATCGGAGATTAGCGAAAAAAAGAGCGCGCAACCTCGAAGACTTTGAGGAAGTTTCTGCGATCAGACGAGATTATTGTCTCTCTCTCTCTGAAAAGTGAACTGCTTGATTTTCTGGTGCGACATAATTACTCGTAAGGGTCTTTTCAACAGCGAGAGTTTAATGCACTCGATTGCGAGAGGATGCTGTTGGCGCACGATAACAAAACTTTGACGGACGTCATATTATATATTTTACCGCACGTCATGTAAAGTTTATCGGTTGTTTACCCAAACGGCCGTTTGATCGGTTGGGCGAACAAAAGGCTATAGATGCGTGTCCAAAAGAAAAAACTCCATCATCAAAAATACGATGTACCGATCAAGTAGTTCCTCGTACGTGAAAAAACTGTACGAGAGAGCGCGGTACGATGAGCCGTCGCGTCAGTGCGGAGTGTGTGTGTGCATATATATATATATATATATATATAACAATAACAACGGGGGCTCGCGCGTGCGCCTATATAAGTATACCTACCTATACAGACATATTAGAGGTCAGCGGGGCTGCATGGGACACGTATGTGTATAGCAGCTTCGCTCGCGTGTTCTCAAGCAGTATTTGGCTGTCATTAAGTATGTCGTATAGTGTATAATTACTTATTATACATATACGCGGATGATGAAAATGGGTTAATTGGTGGTGCAACTCCTCGGAGATGATGTCTACCG